AACCTTTTCCTTGTTGTACTCTACCTGGTCCTCACACCTATTATTCGGCCAAAAGAGAGGTCTGAAAGGTCTTGGGAGGGTGCTCTGGGCCTTCTCAAGGGATCCTAAATCCAGAGTGGTGGCAGCGTCAGGTGACACCCCACCTGAGCCTTGATAACTGGTCTGCTTGTTAATATGCTTAGTGTAGATATTTAGCTTTATTATTTTATCCTCCGTCCACTCTTATATTGTATATTGCTGCATGTTCTTTTAATAAATCACTTTAATTATATCTTTTGGTGTTCTCAGGTTTTAGGGTTTCAATCTAAACCTACTACTTTTGCCCATATTGTCTACAGCTACCAGAATAACTACTTTCAGGAAGTCACTTTATAAACATCCAACCTTGTAGGGGTGAATTTTTGATCTTAGACCTAAGAGGGCTAGAGATTTAGTCCCTTGGTCACTGGCTAACAGTGTAGTAAGGGGACTGATGGTAGCATTACTCTGGGGTATGAGGATCCACACTTCAGCACTTTGTGGTTTTGCCTTGTATTAACCTGTCACCATTAAGGAAGACTTTGGGATAGAAGTCTTTTGACAATGTTCTCCTGTGTATTCTCCTGGGAAGCCTTCCAGTGGGAAGATTAAGGAAAAGGAACAAGCAGCATAGACCCCACAGTCACCCAGTCCCACCCCATACAAACAGATTAATCTTTAAGGGGGATATGGCTTCTTTAAACTTAAAAATTTAAACATGGAAATTTCCAGCCTAACTTTTTAAAACGTGGACATTTCCAGCCTAACCCAGGAGACACATTCTCATGTTTTAAAAGTTCAGGTAAGTTTTACTAATCTTGGATTTATCCCTATCCTGCTTCATTTGAGAGAAAATAATAAATCTCAGTCTATCTAATGCACCTGAAAGTCCTACTTTGCTTTGTCCTAATTCATCACAGTACTAGACATGTTCAGCTGGTAGTTACAGGTATGGTAAAAGATTGCAGACTAATACTAAGTACACTAATAGTGCCATCTAGGTACATGATAGAGACAGTGTGGTGTAGTGGTGAAAAGTAGGGATGTGCATTCAGCTACATCTGAGCCGAAAAAATAGCTGAGCTATTCTTTCAGCCAAATATGCATTTAGTTGTATTTTTGGCTATCTAATATATTTTCAGGTTCTTTCAGGACTGCCGAATAGCTGTAGTTAAAGGGCTTTAAAGGGATCACAGTTTCTTTAAACGCCTTTGGTGTTAACTTGCAGCTTGGAGACGGCATTTAAAGGGACCATGAGCCCTTTAAAGACCTTTGGAGTTAACTCACTGCTTGCAGAAGGCATTTAAAGGGACCAAGATCCCTTTAAAAACCTTTCTCCCTCCATTGAAATTGATGGAGGATGGGGGCAGCTTCTTTGGGGACCCATAGAATTGGACCCCTCGTCCAATCTTTTTCAATTTCAATTTATTATAGGTCTATATGACCGAAGTCTTGACCAAGAGGATACAAAAGGGGAATAAAATAAGTACATAAAATAGACATAACATGTCTCAAGGTACATAATCACAGTCACATAAAACCCAGGCTGAGCCCAGAGATTAAAAATTACCTAACTACACTTGGGGTGGAGCCAACTGACTAAAATCATCCGAAGATTAAAAGTCGGTGTCAGAGTTTTCAGAAGTGCTGAAATTTTCAATGTTTCTTGAGAGCAGCCACCTTAGCCAGGAACCGCGCCACATTAACTATTATCAGTCCATCGGCATTTGAGTCAGATAACAGTACTGAAAGCACCCAAGGTTGCACGGGAAGATTAATCTTCGTAAGAATAGGAAAGATATAAGTGCCTCTAACTTGAGTCCAGTGGGGACAGCGAAACATCAGATGATCTAAGGTTTCAATTTCGTCAGAATTGCACAGACAAAGGCGATCTGAGTAAGGAAGGCCTCCAAATCTTCCCAGAGTTACCATAGTTGGAAATACATTTAAGCGGGCCAGCATAAAGGTGCGGCGGTGAGATGGAATTGATAACGTTGAGTAAAAGTCAGGAAATCTCTCTGGAGGGGATAACCCTAAAGCCAAAGGAGAGCAGGTCTTTTTAAAACTTTGGGGGTTCTTTGAGAAGGGGCACTGGCAGCTATGCTACAAATTTGGTGCCTCTGCCTCAAAAAAACAGACCTCTGGATCCATTCCCCATTATATCCTATGGGAACCATTTACTATAATGGTCCCCATAGAGTATAATCGAGCGGGAAAAAATTGGGATTCCTGAAAAATCCTGAATCTGAATACCGCCCTGGTATTGGGATTTGGGAATATTGGGAGATAACGATATTTTGGGGGTTCAGTATACCTGAACATAATGATTTTTGGCCTTTTTGCACACCCCTAGTTAAGAGCAGCAGACTTTACTCTGGAGAGCCAGGTTTGATTCCCCACTCCTCCACATGAAGCCTGCTGGGAGACCTTGGGCCAGTCACAGTTCTCTCAGCCCCATCTACCTCACAAGGTGCCTGTTGTGGGGAGAGGAAAGGAAAGTGATTGTAAGCCACTTTGAGATTCCATAAGGTAGAGAAATTGGGGAATAAAAACCTGCTCTTCATCTTCTTCATAATCCTAAACAGAGTTACACTTTTCTAAGTCTTAGGATGGCACTGCATCATACAGTACCAAAATCATATAGCCTTAAAATTTTAACCATGACCACCAAAAGCCAAATTAAAAAAATATTTTATTAAACTTCTGGGGGGAAATGCTCAAGCTCAGAGGGGAAGATACAAGCGTTTTCCCCAAAATTTCAGAAGAACATTTTTTAAAAATGGCTTTTTTGGTGGCTAGGGTTGAGTTTTTAAAGCTACATGATTTTATTTTATTTTTTGTACTGTAAACCTTCCTAGTGTTAAAAATTAATGCCGTGCAACATGTTTAAATAAATAAAGTCATCACTAGATGGCATTGAAGTCAGGAGGATAAATCCAAGTCCGGTTTCAGTGCAGTTCTAATTTGGCCAAAAGCCTTTGCATGAACAGATCACCATCACAAATACCATATGCCATAAAGGAAAGCTAAAAACTGTACAGCAGCACAAATGTCCCTAGGATGAAAACAAGGCTGTCAACTGGCCTAGTGAAAAATAGGATGTTGTTGACTGGGTTATGTTATTTATGCCCATGATGTTAAAATAGCTGGCTGCCCATTTCTGAGCATTAAGCTTCTGTTCTCCAAGCAAGGTGGCAACCCTAACTTGAATTGTAACTCAGAGGTAAGTTGTTCATGTGTCACTTTAGTGTAATGTAGCTATTGTACTGACAATGGAAATAGTGTTCCTAGCAAGAAGTCTTACAGTGTCATCTTAAATACAGTTTCATTCCCCTACCCCTGTTGACTCCAGTGGAAGGGTTATCTCTGTTTAGGATTGCATGTTAGTGTTAAGCTCAAAGTCTGGTCTGTTTAGCCTAAATGTAATTTTTTGGACAACAGATGGACAGAAGCAGCAAATAACCCTGAATTCTTGAAGTTTATTGTAACCAATTTTTGTAATACTGCACTGTCTTTATAGTCAGATAATGAATTTCAAGCACGGACATGTAAAACCAACCTTTTAAGACCCTATCGAAGTAACTCCTCCCTACTTCAAAATGGGTATAAAGTTTATGACTATGAAAAGAAACAACTTACACAAATAGAGATATAAAAATCAAAAACAATGTATCATATATGAAAATTCTGATAGAGAATAAGATTATATACATAAATATTTATATAGTACATATATAGCAATGATTACAGTTTCCAGAACTGAACATTTATGAAATAAAAATGCATTGAACAATACTGGTTAGGGTGCTTTCACATTCCTTTCACATTCCTCGTGTTCCCCTTACATCCATTTGAGTCACAGTGGAAGACAAATTACAGACTGAGCTAGTACTTGTTCAGTGTCTTAAATCAAAACAGGATTATATTTGCAGGGTCAGAAGTTAGGCTGGCATAGACAGAACGGTACTCACCGAAAATAGTCTTTTTGCCAGGCCACCACGGTTAGAAGTGCTTACCGAATCTTAGAGACTCTCAGCATGATGATCATCACCCTTATAAATGTTTATAAATTTTACAACTAGGGTGGGGGATCAGGCAGCTTTTAAGTGTAATACAGGTGCACTAATGTACAGAGTGGCTTTGAATGCTACAGATAGGATGGAAAGTGCATTTTGGTAACTAAAAAGGCAGCATTACTGAATGGCTGACCCCAGAGTAATATTCTCTCTCTTAAGTGCAGTGCTTCTAATGAGAAACATCATGTTAGGGATAGGGCCACATTTTTGGGGGGGATAATTCTTCAGGCTATGCTAGCCGCATAAGTCCTACAGAAATCAATGGTGGCCAGTTTTGTAAGAGGCAAAAGCTTATGTTTGAAAGTAAGTATAAAGAGGTATCACTGAAGAATTTATCAGCTCAACTCTAATGCTGAGCATTCTTGTGATGATACTTTGATTGATATAACTTATTGCTTAATGAATAAAATGCTTACTAAAATTGGCGTGCACAGCTTATGTGTAAAACCTGATTTAATTGTACATGCTAACCTCGTGGACAACTTTTTTTAAACAACAATTGTTTGTTTACTCTTCTGTATCTATGTATATACACTATACATACATATATATACCCTAAGTTTGGCAATTACAGTTGAGACTTTGTTGATCTCAGCTTTTGGATAACTTATAAACATTCCGGCCTCACACTCTCAGCTTTAAAAGGTACTAGGATACCTCTCAAACTTCTGCATTGCCTTCCAGTATTCTAGAAATGGTGGTTATCAAAATAATAACAGTAACAGTTGTGAGCACTGTGTACACTGTGAACTCTGTGCCTCTCTCAGCACACATTTTTTGTAATTCTCTCCTGGCCCAGAAAAGCATGGCACAGGCTTTGATACATAAATAATTCACCCTTATAAAAGGGTGCTTTAATGTTCCATAGGTTCCTAGTAGCATTACTAGTAAAGTCTTTGGAATCTTCTAGTTATTGACTAGAAGTACTGTCCCCATCTGTATGGTCAAAAGTCTTTTTCTCTGTCTGTGGGGATGGTGGTAGTTGACCATTTCGAGCAGGAATAGACAGGCCCCTTTCTCTTCTCCTCCAGATTAATGGGGTTTGGAACTTGTAGAATTATACACCCAGTCCAGCACAATGAGGGTCATACTCCCAATCATAAAGATGATGCCGACAATGAGGAACATCAAAGCCTGAGAAGGGGAAAACAAAAAACAAAAACCCCAGATGAATACAGAAAGCGGAAAATAGGGATGGGCACGAACCAGGAAAATGCGGTTTGTTTCAGTTCGTGGTTCATGGCGTGCCCAGTTTGTGAGCCACAACCTGTCATGAACTTTTAGATGGCAAATGAACTGGTTCAGTTTGTGATGTGGTAGAACAGCACCCTGGTGCACTAGAGACACCAAACTCACAGGGGATCTCCAGCTGACCGGATTGGATTTATAGGGTCCGCGTTATGGCTCGGTGCTCCCAGGAAAGTGCTTTCCAGGGATATGGCAGGCACAGGTTCAGGAGTGTATAGAATGAACCCTGTGCAAGCTAGAGACCTCAAACTCATTGGGGACCTCCCCCTGATGTTCCTCTACATGCCCTCCAAGTTATGTGCAGATTGGACCTAGGGGGTCTGAGTTATGTCCCCTTCAAAAGATGCCTCCAGGAAAGTGCTTTTTGGGGAAATGTCAGGGGCAGGTTCAAAAGTATACAGAATGGACTCCCTGCAAGCTACACACACCAAACACACAGGGAACCTCACCCTGCCTCTGAAGTTTCATAAGCATTTTGATTGAGCAGAGATACTCTGTCTGGAAATGTATCCATTCATGAACCACCTGAAAGTTCGTGCCTGTTGACCTGTCACGAACTGCCCAAAATTCATCACAAACTTTAGTATGTGAGCTGGTTTGTGCTCATCCCTAGCTGAAAATACTGGAATAAACAAACCCATTGAAAGCCTACTTACTCCAATCTTCTGAGGTGACCTCAAAGGCTCTTTTTTGACAATACGAAGGTAGAAGGCAGCAGGAAGGATAAAAATCAGCATTGTGGCAGCAGAAGCACCTGGGGTGGGAAATGCAAATTGTTATGATGTGGCAAGAGACAATGCTTAGGAACAAAGCAAGTCACTGAGTAGAGATATGTTGATGTACCTCTGTAGCACAATATACTTTTAGGCTCCCAGTAAATTGTATCAACACAATTGGGAACATTGCCTGTCAGGAAAGCACAGGTACATTCTCCTATGAGAAGTAATTGGTACTGTAGTGATTGTCAGTGGCTGCAGTCACACACTAAATAATCCACTTTCAAGGCACTTTCCATCTGGAGTTTTATTGTGTGAACTGGCAAAATCCATTTGGAAAGTGCATTGAAAGTGGATTGAAAATGGATTATTTAGTGTGTGTGACTGCAGCCAGTATCTGTACTAGTTGCTCTGGATTGAGATTCCTTGATACATGGCAGGAAGGGTGATAAAAATGCTGTATATGGATGATTGAAGACCTTCCTATATTTCTGGCACTGATCTAATGCAAATAATATTTGTACTTATCAGAGACTAGTGTGATGTGACATTGTAACCATCCTGTGGTACTCTGATGTGAAACAGATGTCATAGATCAATTATTCAAAGCATACCTTTGTTATTATAAGAATAGAGGCAAGTTTACAGGCCAATAGATTTATTTGCTGACTAGGAATAAGGCCGGTTGTGGAAATAAATACAACGAGCTCTAGAAAGAGGCTCTGGGAGAGTGCCAAGGCCTTGGGAACTCAGCGTCAATGTGCTGTGGCGACCTCAGCAGGGTATAATGACACAGAGTCCACCATTTTCTCCAGAGGAACTGATCGCTGCTACCTGAAGAGCAGTTCTAATTTTCAGTGACTTCCAGCCTTCACCTGGAGATTGACAACAATTGTTACCAGGAAGAAATGGCTGGTTTGGAGGGTGGAGTCTATGGCATTGTACCTGTCTGAGGTCCCACCCCTCCTCAAACCTCACCCTCTCCAGGCCCCACCCCTCAAATCTCCAGGAATTTCCCAACCTGGAGTTGGCAACCCTATCTCCTTCCCAGCCAATAATCAACCTGCCATTATCTGACCCTCTGATTTCAGCTTTGCATCTCCTCTCCCCTCCCTCCTGGAAATCAGTGGTAATTCTGAGTGATTTCCACCCCTCTCCTGAGATTGGCAACAGTGGTTCCCAGAAGGGAATGGCTGGTTGGAAGGGGGAGTCTATGGCATTGTACCTGTCTGAGGTCCTACACCTCCTCAAACCTTACCCTCTCCAGGTTCCATCCCTCAAATCTCCAGGAATTTCCCACATGGAGTTGGCAACCTTATCTCCTTCCCAGCCAATCATCAACCTACCTTTATTTCCCCCTCTCTTTTCAGCTTTCCATTTCCCCCCACACACCTCCAGCCTCTTCCGTGCTCTGAAGCCCTGACTGCCACAGAGTCCACCATTTTCTCCAGGTGAACTGATCTCTGCCATCTGGAGAGGAGTTGTAATTCTGAGTGATCTCCAGCCCTCACCTGGAGATTGGCAACAATGGTTTCCCAGGAGGAAAAGTAGTTTTTCTCTGCAATGGGGACCAAAGCAGCTTACATCATTCTCCTCTCCCCCTTTTGACTTGCACAACAACCCTGTGAGGTAGGTCAGGTTGAAAGTCTGTGACTGGTCCAAAATCACTCACTCAGCTTCTACAGCAAGAACCTGGATTTAGCAGACCCTGCTCTGAAGCACTGACTACTACGCCTAGGGCAGCCAACCTCCAGGTGGAGCCTGAAGATCACCAGGTATCACAACTGAACTCCAGACAACAGATCCCCCCCCCGAGAAAATAACTGCTTTGGAAGGTGGGCTGTATGGCATTCTGTTCAGCTGAGGCCTCTCTTCTTCCCAAACCCTGGCTTCCATAGACTCTACTAGAAAATCTCCAGGAATCTCCACCAAGATAATGGTAACACTCAGCTGGAAGTTGTCCCCCATCCAATCCTGTCATTACAACCATCTGTCTGATAGTTCAACTTCAATGTGTTATCACTACTTCAGAATCAAGGCTGAACTTCTAATCTTTCCCCCAAGCCCCCCTCTCCATGTATGCTCTCCATATCCACTGATAACGTTGTCATACTTCTTGTAGAACAGGAAGGCAGCCTTGGGTTTATCTGTGATTCTTCTTTCTCCTTTGCTCTCCATATTTAGCGCATTTCCAAGTCATTTTGCCTCTTCTTTTACAACACTTCAGAAACAGGCCCCTTTGAGAAAAAACTCTGGCTCATATTCTGGTCATCCCTTGCCTTGATTACCAAGTCTTCTACAGAAGTACTTCAGATGCTTCACCTCTATCCAGAACTCTGTTGCAAAAGCCAGCCATCTCTCATATTTCTACCTATGACCTGGACTCTTCCCACCTTCAGCTAACTAAGGGTCTCCTGCTGCCTCAAATAATTCTTCTCTTTCTCCCCTTACTGCCCATTGTGCTTGGAATGGCCTCCCAGAACACCTGCATGGTGCCACTTCTATAATTTTCTTCACATCTTTTCATCTTGTCTCTCAGACCTGTGGCTCAATCCTATAGTTCCCATCCCCTACTGAAACTAAGTCTGGTATGTATAACTGAAATGAACATATTTTCTTCCTGTGTTTATCTCTGCTTCCATCTCACTCTCTTATGTGTGTTTTTTTCTCCTAGGTCAAATTTTAGATGTTATGTTCCTTAGGAGCAGGGAACTGCATTCCTGTAATCTGTAAATCACCATGCAAATTGAGAGGGAATAAGGAGAGGAGGAAGAAGAATAGACGAGAGTGAAACTCTTCTCCTCGACATCTAGTGTTCTGTGGACAAGGAATGTTTCTGTAGCAAGCACTTGTGCTGGTGAACCCAAGTGGTGTTGTCAAGAAACAGATTCCCTATCTCATCTGCTCTCTGTGAGAACTAGGTCACACATTTGTATGATTTTATTGTACATGAAACTTGACACATTTCATGCCCTCCGTGAGGACTTTTGTTACTGTATTGTGTTCTACTTTACATGTATTTATTTACTTTCTTCGTTTATTCCCTGCCTTTCTCCCAATGAGGATCCAAAGTGGCTTATATCATTTATGTTCTCCTCCATTTTATCCGTACAACAACTCTGTGAGGTGGCTTAGGCTGTGATAGTTAGTGCATGACTGGCCCAAGGTCATTCAGCAGCCTTCCATGGCAGAGTGGGATTACAATAAGGTCACCCAGATCCTAGTGGGACACTGTAACCACTGCACAATACTAGATCTCTCTTTAAAATAAACGATTCTATTTTCATTGAAGACTCAGTAAATTGAGGATTTTTTTTAAAAAGTTACCTATGAATCCAAAGATGTCTCTAATAGTAGGCACAAAAATTACTAAGATGTTGTTAAATGCAAGGATTACTGCAGCAATCAGAAAATGTCTTATCCAACTGAAAGGCCTGTTTGAGAACAAAAGTGTAGAAACTGATGTTCGAATCTGTAAAAAAGTAGAAATGATAGTTCAGCATACTTTGTTTAAGATATACTCTACATACTTTTGCAGCAAGAAATGGTAATTAAAATAAATAAAAATATTTATTATAAAACAAATAAAAATCTTTCTCATTTTCTTCTCTGTGAGAATTCCTCTGGATGATCATTACCTAATTTTATGAATGGTCTGTGTTCTTTTGAGCAGAATATCAAATATTAACAGGAGCATATGAGGTAAATGGACGTATATAGGACATAAACAGAAAATAAGGTGTTCAAGAAACTGTAGTAAAAATGAAGTGTAACATAGAGAAAATCCTGAGCCTCCGCATAAAATACACAGGGAACCTGCCACCTTTGCTGGAAACTCTTTCTAAAATACTTTCAGTAAAAAAAGTGGATTCAGGTGGCCAGCCATGTTGCTTTGAAGCAACAGAACATAGCTCGACTCCAATGGTACCTTTAAGACCAACAAAGTTTAATTCTGGGCATAAGCTTTTGTGTGCATGCATCTGAAGAAGAATTACACCATTCTAAATACATTGAAGTCACTGGACCTAGAAGGGTGTAAGGACTATACTCCAAATCTCTTAACAAACCTACCCAAGCTGAACAGAATTTCTGCAGCTTTCATACTTAATAAGTAGGTAAAAGGTCAACAGCATGTCTGCTTGCCAGCTCCAGATAGTGTTACACCGAAATTCTCTGACTAGTTCAAGAAGTTTTATGTGTAGAATCTCAATGGTCAACAAATTGTTTTGCCAGAATATCAGGGTGTATCCAGAGCCTTTAAACCAATGGGAGCTTTGCTGCTGACTTCAAAAGCATGCAGACAGATCTTCTGAATTCCATTTCCACCCCCATAATCAGATTCTTCCAATGGATTTGACATTGAACTGACTTGCCCCTATGTGGATGATTTGTGCTGCACAACACGGACAGCCACAGACAAGGAAAAGATTGTGGTGAAACGATGTCACCCCGTATATCTTTGTAAGGAGCTTCCACTTTGTGAATGTTGGGTTTACACTCTGTGAATAGGGTTACCATGTCCCCTCCTGGCCGCCAGAAGGGTATGGGGGGGTAGGGTTGCCAGATCCAGGTTGAGAAACTCCTGGAGGTTTGGGGATGGAGCCTGGAGACAATAGGGAACTTAGTGGGGTACAACAGCACAGAGTCCACCCTCCAAATCATCCATTTTCTCCAAGGGAGCTGATCTCTGTAGTCTGAAGATGCGTTGTAGTTCTGGGGGGATCCCCTGGTCCCACCTGGATGCTGGCATCTCTATCTGTGAATTATCAGGGATTAATCTCAAACTGCCTTCACAGTAGTCTGGTCAAAAGAAAAAGCTACTCTCCAATTTCTTTTACTTTCCAAGTTTCAGAGTTTGTGGGAGTAGCCATTCTTATGGTATTAATATGTCCCAAGAGAACAAAGAAGAGCTGGGACAGGTATGGCCTGAGAGCACTTCAGCAGTGGGGACCTCCTGAGTCTTAGAAGCTAATATAATTTTCTAGTCTTTCCCTTCTCTGTCTAGTGAATTTCCAGGGGAATGGGACTGGGGGGCTTGGAGGAACAAGAAGCTTTCCTTTTAAGAGGGGGCAGTTATCGGTTAAAGGAAGAGAAGACATCTAAAGGGCATCTAAAGCATATCTCTCAGATATTAAAGCATTTAAGGGCATCTAAAGCATCTCTCTCTCTCTCTCTAATAGAGAGAGATATATGTTTTAGATGCCCCGCAACACTTTAAACTGGTACAATTAAAGGCGGCACTATATCACGCCAAGCCACCAGTCTGACCACAGCCTAAGAGTAGCAGGTCTCTTACAAATAAATTTCAAATGGAGATTAGAAAGAGAGTGCTAAATTGCAACTTATAATGAAGCTCAAGATAATGCATCCACTTGGATTGAATCAAGACCTAGGTTTCCTGTCTCATTATCAGTGTTGATTTTTCCATGCCTACTACCCCTCTGCATATCACACCTAATCCAATCATGTCTGCTGTTGTCATTCACCTGCTATTGTCATTTGGCATCTGAAATCACTCCACTCTGCAAGATATAAGGATAGATGGACTCACATTCTAGCTGTATCTAAGAAAGCAGAGACTCACAAAAGCTCATACCCTGCCACAAATTTTGTTAGTCTTTAAGGTGCTACTGGACTCTTGCTCTTTTCCATGGCTACAGATAGACTAACATGGCTACCCATCTTGATCTGTCCCTATTTCTAAGCTGGACATAGCATATGAAAAGAGATTTTGAATTTGGAACAAAAGAGTGTGGTTGCAAGACTGTCATGCTACAATGCTTCTAGTGGACTGCTGGTGGCAGCAGAGACTAAACCCTCTTTGAAGGGGAATGGTGAGGTACAGCTGGAGAGGTGAACTCATTGAGGTCTAGCAGCTTGGAACCGGGCCCGGCCAGCAAAGTAAATCCCTTATTCCAACCACATGGATCTCTATCTAATGAGGGGATTCCCCAAATAGTCAGACCATTATGACTTGGAAAATTAACTATAAAGCCACTAAAAATAGCCTTGTGATATTACTCATATTATGGGAGTAGTTAAATTTTTTTATTTAATATTCCATTAAGTATTTAAGATATTTAGTAAAAATAAGTCTTATAATGGGATAAATGATTAAGATAATACCCAGGTTTTAAGGATGGTTTGTAGAAATTTGTTTAATTGTTAAAGATTTAATCTCATTTATTTTTATTAACTATCGCTGAATATTCTGAAATATTTTGTTTCTTATTTCCAAGAGAGAACTTATTCCTGAATACTGTAATAATGATTTTTTTGCTGCATCTATATTTGAACAATGTAATTTTATTAATACAGTTGATTCTATTGTTGTATGCAACTATTCATGATATTTGATAACTTTTGATGAATTTACACTTTTCCCCTTTTGCATCCCACTTGTTTTAAACATAAAAAAATAAAAATTTAAATGGAAAACAAATAGCTTGGTGATGTGAGGAATCTGTCAAGTGGGGAGGGGAACAAAGGGGGGGGGAGGGATTTTCCAGCTAATGCCTGAGAGCCTACAGAATCTTGGACTGCTGACAAGTCGATTTTTCTGTTTCACACAGGAAATCCAATTGTAAGTGATCACTGGTACACTGACATGTGTGAAAACAACTATAGAGAGGAAGACTTTGGAAATGGGGGGAGGATTGATTCCAAATGACTTCCCTCTCCTTGCCCAGTTTGTCTGTACTAACTGGGAGTGTTTTCTGAGGGAATTTGGCAATTTGGGAGTGTCTGGCTTCTATTGGGGTACTGTACACCTGTGGACATATAGTATTACTTTTTGCTGAACATGGCATGATGCCTGAAAGCAGGGAGTGTGAGGGACTTGTGGAACAGAATGCAAGCATCACTCTTTGCAACAGGATAGCCTTTCCAGACCTCGTGCAGCTGTAACTGGAGAAACTCAGTCTGCTGAGAGCTGTTGTACTACATCAGCTGGGAAAGTCTGATGCATACTGTATGGGCTCCATCGACAATACTCGCATTTACCTCTGCATGGCTGTCACTTCCCTGAAGAGAGCACACTTACTGTTATTTTTGCAACATAAGCAGGAACCCTGTAAACCCACTGAAAGCTACTGAACGAATACCACTGAAAGCCAGAACCAAGCAGTATTTTTTCCTTTCCTTGGTGATGACCCTGTACCCTAGCCAGTTTTCCTTGAATATTTTTTTTCTAAAAAAAGATAGAAATGACCACTACCTCAGTTATTCAAGCAGCTGAGGACTCCACAAAATCTCTTATGACCCACCCCCAATACCGGTTTATGAGTCTCATAAGCACAGTCAACACCTTAAAAAGGATATTATAGCTTTGGAAAAAGTGCAGAAAAGGGCAACTCGAATGATAAAAGGGTTGGAACACTTTCCCTATGAGGAAAGGTTAAAGCGCTTAGGGCTCTTTAGCTTGGAGAAACGACGACTGAGGGGTGACATGATTGAGGTTTATAAGATTATGCATGGGAAAGAGCAGGTAGAGAAAGAGCAGGTAGAGAAAGAGCAGGTAGAGAAAGAGGTACTTTTCTCCCTTTCTCACAATACAAGAACTCGTGGGCACTCCATGAAATTGCTGAGTGGTCGGGTTAGAACGGATAAAAGGAAGTACTTCTTCACCCAAAGAGTGATTAACACATGGAATTCACTGCCACAGGAAGTGGTGGCGGCTACAAGCATGGACGGCTTCAAAAGGGAATTAGATAAGCATATGGAGCAAAAGGGAATTAGATAATCATATGGAGCAGAGGTCCATCAGTGGCTATTAGCCACAAGGTATAGATAGGGACTCTGGGGCAAGTGATGCTCTGTCTTCTTGGTGCTTGGGGGGGGTCAACAGTGGGAGGGCTTCTAGTGTCCTGGCCCCACTGGTGGACCTCCTGATGGCACCTGGTATTTCTGGCCACTGTGTGATACAGAGTGTTGGGCTGGATGGGCCTTTGGCCTGATCCAACATTGGCGTCTCTTATGTTCTTATGTTTAATTTTAGATACAGTAAATTTTAGATACAATAAGAAGAAAACCATTTTTACAATAAATAAGCAAACGGTCATTATACAGATAAGAAAAAAAGTTAATATATTTATTTAGTACATTTTTATTCCACCCTTCCTTGAAGGAACACAGGGTGGCATATGTCATTTTTCTCTCCTCCTCCTTTTTATCCTCAGAACAACCCTATGAGGTAGGTTAGACTGACAGAGCATGACTGGCTCAAGGTCACCCAGTGAGCTTCATGACCAAGAAGGGATTTGAACTTCTGCTTCCCAGGTTCCAGTCCAACACTCTAACTACTACACAACACTCGGACCGATTCCATAAAAGCAGTTGTCGCACCCTCGGTCTCCCATTTCCCCTGGTTGTACTGCTCAATTTCCCACTATTTGCTGTGCAGCCGCATTTTGGCCTGCATCTCCCCCCGATTTTCTCCACGTCTTCTTGACAAGAGCCCACAAAATTGAAGGGTCTCCCATCAGGCAAATGGCATCCCTAAAACACATACACACACACACTCACAAGGAAGAGCAAAGAGGAAGGTACGCCCAATGAGAATGACTGTTCCTTTCAATGCAGTCACCTTCCATTGCTGAAATGTTTCAGCATTGGAATGTAATTTTTTAAAATAAAATCACCCCAACCTGCCCACCCATTCTGAGTGGGTTTTGCTGGGGGGGGGGGGGGGGGTTGTAGTGGAAGTCACCAGTGTGGGGCTCAACTAGCGAAGGCAACTGGCATAGTCTATGGCTATTGCCTCCTGTATAGCCAGCAGCTGAGAATGAGCCAAGACTCTGGGAAATTAGCAGGGCAAAAGAGGAAATTTGGCAGCTCTACCTGTTGCTAGAAGGAAGGAGCTCTCAACTCAGGAGACTGAGGCTCATGATACTCCTGTGAGGGAATTTCAACCCACTGTAGGGCCACCATCCACAGTGTAAGCACTACCAACTTAGACAGAGAGATGACTAGTATTATAAATTATGACTACATTTTACCTGCTGACGCTACATTAAAAAAGGGAGGGGGCTTGGATTTCTTCAATGCTAAATCAGGGGTCTGCTATATTTTTAAGCCTGTGGGAACCTTTGGAATTTTGAGAGGGGCTAGTAAGCGTCACCATAAAATGGCTGCCACAGGAGGTGGAGTCAAACAGAATACCTCCCTCCTCACACCTCCTCCTGGGAAGGTGGAAAGACTGAATAGAGAATGGAACTGTGCACTAAGGAAAGCATGTGTATTTGTTTACCAGTCCTCCTGATCCACCAACGGAAAACCCTTTGAATAAAGGCAGACAATTACAAGCTCTGCCTTACAATGGCTCCACCTACTTTCTGAAAAAAACTTGATGGGTGCCAAGGGAAGTGCATGGGAAGTATTATGGCACCCATGGGCACCACACTGGGGAAGCCTGCTCAAACGTATGGCAGGATGAAACGTTGTCAAGTGAATTTTCATGAATGTGTGTATTTGTGTGTGTGTGTGGGAGAGAGAGACAGAGAGAGATTTCAGTAACTTATGAATAGTTTTCTGACTTACAGGGAACAGGACTATTGGCACAGTCAGTGTCACAGCTACAAGCACTGCAAAGCGAACCATCAAGAGCAGAGTGTCAAAAGTGTACACTCTGGTATATGTATGAAGTAGTTCATCTTCAACTTCTCCTACAGAAAAGAAATAAAAAAAATCCTCTTTCAGATAATTCCTCATTTACTGAATATAAATATCCCAAAGGGTAAAAGTGATTGAATAAAGAAGTCATAGTATCATAACAGACAATTACAGTATCATAACAGACAATCATAGTATCATAACAGACAATTACAGGTCTCAGTTTAGATCTAGTGTAGAGATAACACTTGTCAGAACTGGTAATAATTTCTTGCCTTAACCCTGGCTGAGATTCTGGCAGTGCAGTCCTAAACAGAGTTTTCAGTGGATGAAAAAGTATTAACTCTGCTTATGGTTGCACTCAAAATGCACAGTCTTGTCATTGTTGTTGAGAATTGCTTATCACCTTGCAAATGGAGAGGCTGAGTAGATGAGGTAGATGCCACAATCATACTTTGGTTTATGTAGATGTAACAATTAACCGTGGTTCATACAAGCCACGATTGGCCACTCCGGTTGAAAACATGGCTTCGTATCTTGGTTTCAGTTGATTTTTAACTAGAGCTTAAGAACTAAGATGTAATGATTAAACATGGATAAGGAAAACCAACCATGTAGCCTTATGTCTACAGAGTCCAGAGTTTCTTTTCTTTTCTTTTTTTGGCCCCCCAAAGGGGAATTTTTTATTTGCATTTCTATAAAACTACAACAGAAATTGGGGAGGGAGAGTCTACAATCTATAGGAGAAAGTAAAAAGAACCTAACTAAAAACCCAAGAATGGAGGTTTTACAATGCTTAAAACATAGTTGTTACTCTTATACAGTTACTTTCAAACATGAAGAGTGCCTGCCAATCATCGCTTCTGCTGACAAAACCAGCTTATCTGACTGAACAGAGAGTAATTCCAAAGCTATAACACACATAATCACAGCCCTTAAGAAAAAATTAGCATCTCCACGCTTTACTCCCCCCCAGGCAAGATCTTTAAAACCAATGTTCCCTCAGTAAGAACATTACAACACGTTTTTCTTCTTCCGTCTTCGATGTATCTTCTTTCTTCAATTATCTTTTAGTTTTTATAAGTCCGGATCTGTCCATTCGTGATATAAACCAAGTTCCTTTTTTCCAGGGACATCTTCGCTTCCTTAAACATCTTAGATCAAAAGAGTCTTTCCTTTTGTTGCAGTAACAACACGCTCATTGGAGATTCCAACGCAGATCTTATAAAGTTGGGGTAGCGAGCCCTTTACTCCAGAAAACCACTTTTCAATCAGCTTGCCAATCCAGCCACAAAGAACTAAACTTTAGAGTCTCCTTACCATTCATACGTCTCTATGATCAACGCACTGTCCCTTTAAAAGTGTAGCTGCTTTTAATACAGATCCAGGTCGCTTCTCACTTTAGCCACCAGAGGGCCCACGATTCACTTTAAAGACAGAGTCTGTGGTTTGGTCACAACCTAACTTTCCGCTGTCTCCTTTCTGAAGAAAGCATTGATCCCGCCTCCCTCTTCGCCTCTCGTCGCCATCTTTTGGGGATGTTTACATCAGCCGAGAAAGAATGCCAAAGTCCTAAGGTCTGTTTAAACGCTCAGCTTTCTTTTAGAAAAACTCTCAGCTACAGTCCATCACCACAATTTGATCAGTCCCTCCATCCTTGCTTTCGCATTTGCTTAAAACGTCGGGAGATAGGGCGTCCCCTCCCCCCCTCCGTTTATACGCTTATAGTAGAGGGATTTAACTTCTAGGCTTTAGTGTCTTGTTTCAACGGCAACTCACTCATCAATCCTTGAATTGATCCACCAGATCCTAAGACGGCCTCTGGGATCACGCCAGGCAGAGAAAATTGCTAAACCTCCAAATGCTTGTCCCGGTGGTCGCTTCTAATCCAGTACTGGGAATCAGGGCAGGACCGTCAAGGCAGAGAGTAGCTCCCCTGTACTGGCTGCCGGCTGGAGGTAGGGCTCTCCAAAGCCCCCTGGCTAGAAGCCCGTTGTCCATGGGCTTCATGGGGGAGCGTGCACAATCACGCTCCCTCCTAATCCCCAATTCATGGCACACGTCTCTCGGAGGAACCAAGAGATTCTGCCATCGTTTAAAGCGTCAAAACCGGACTACAGAGTCCAGAGTTTCATGCCTGCATCTAGCATTTCTTTCATACTATGTAACAGTAGCCATTAAAGGAATGTTAGAATAACAAGTGGGGCACCTGCAAGAACTTCTGTGGGGCATCTCATTTATCTCCTCCCACTATTTCCTCATTACCTTTCCTGAAAGCTCCCATAGCTTCTACCCTTTACCTGCTTTCTGCTCTCATTCCCACTCATTCTCATTCCTACCTTTATCTGTCTTCAGTCTTCCCTTCTTCGTTTCCCCTGGCAGCCTTTCCCCAGGAAAAGTCTGGCCCAGCTGCATGGTGGGGAAACTTCAAGAACTTGCAGGAGGCACCTCACTTTCCACTGTAACCCCCTCCCCACACAGTTTCCTCTTTCTCTTTTCCTGGCAGCCCCCATATCCTCTCCCTCTTGCCTGCTTCCTTCTCTCCTTCCCACTCATCAGCCAACTTGCCTTTTATCTGCCTCCCATCATCAGCTATATTTATTATTTATTTACTTCATTTACACCCAACCTTTGTCCCCAGTGGGGACTCAAATCACCTTTTATCATTTTCCTCTGCTCCATTTTATCCTCACCTCAACCCTGTGAGGTAGGTTAGGCTGAGTGGCCCAAAGTCACCCAGTGAGCTTCCATATCAGCCTGGGGATTTAACCCAGATCCTAATGTAAAACCCTAACCACTATACCACAATGGCTTTCATGGTGTGGACGGCTCATGCGGAACAGCAGCAGGCCTGTTAAAAAGTAGCAGCTTGGCCTGGGTAGGTCATGTAAGCTGAATGGTAGAAAGTAACTTATGGTTGCCGGCAGGCCTGGCTCTGATGAATCCTTCCTCAAAGGTCAAACTACCCATGAAAAGGGTATTGCCCCTCCTCCTGTCTTTTACTGACAGAAACCAAGGCTTGAAGGTTAGCAATACTATTGTCGTTCCCTAGCAACAGCCATTCAGGCCATTTGTTTCTTAAAGCTACAGGTGCTGCTTCTGTATTTTTCTGGGGGGATTCATTCCTTTATTATTATTATTATTATTATTATTATTATTATTATTATTATTATTAGAGGCGGGACCCATGATACTCATGCGGGGGGGGGAGTATTCCCCACAGCTCCCGGCCTGCAGAAGCAGGAGATGCGGCAGCAGGTGAGCCCAGCCTTCACCCTCCCTCCCCCCCAGTGGCGGTGGCGGCAAAGCCCGCCCGCCAAACTTTCTCCTTCCCCCCTCCCTCCCCAGCAGCGGTGGTGGCGAGCAATGTTCCCTCTAAGCTGTGGTATCTTGTGAGCAAAAACTCTACATTGTGAGCTACTGGCATTAAAGTTGAGAGCAAGCAATTTGGCTACTGCATAAATCAGTTTGCTCTGAAGCCCTCCTTCCTGAGCTAGGACAAAAATATGTGAGCCAGAGGCTAAAAAACTGTGAGCTAGCTCACACTAACTCTCCTTGGCTATTAGATATATAGATGATGATGATGATTTCAATTTACGCCAGGCTCTGGGCAATGTACGAAAGGCAAAATGCCATAAAACCAAAACAAATTTCAAATATCCGTGTACAGTCAATAAGATAAAACCAGAATAAAAGATCCTAAATAGTGATTTAAAATTTTCTGTTCCCATTCTGGGCTGCCTGGCCATTTGGGGTGGGTGGGAGGGAAACAAACAAAATATACATGGGGGGACAGGGAAAGGGTCCCAGCCAGTGCAACCAACCGTTGCTGCCCTCAACCAAAAGCCTGGCAGAACATCTGTCTTACAGGCCCTGTAGAATTGTACAAGGTCCCACAGGGCCCTGGTGTCATTCAGCAGAGAGTTTCACCAGGTTGGGGCCAGGACTGAGAAGGCCCTGGCCTTGACTGAGGACAGCTGGACATTCTTAGGGCCAGGGATCACCAGCAAGTTGTTATCAATAGAGTGCAAAGCTCTCCCAGGAACATAGTGGAGAAGGCGGTCCCGTAGGTACACTTGTCCCAGACCACTCAAAGCTAAAACCTTGAACCTGACCCAGTACTCTACTAGAAGCCAGTGTAGCTGGTACAGCACTCATTGAATATGTGCTGTCCATGATGTTACTGTCAGGACTCATGTTGCCGCATTCTGAACCAGCTGAAATTTCTGGATCAGTCACAAGGATAGGCCAGCATAGAGTGAGTTGCAGTAGTCTAGCCTGAAGGTGGCTGTTGCATGGATTACTGTGGCTAGGTCAGGGCATGACAAGAAAGGAGCCAGTTGCCAGGCTTGGTAGTATGTGTGACTTGGGCCTCCATCGATAGGGAGGTATCCAGGGTCATGCCCAAACTCTAGACGAATGGTGCCAGTGTCAGTGGGGCCCTGTCAAGGGTTGGTAACCTGAACTCCATTCCCGAAGGGGGCCCCCCACCACAGAACCTCCATCTTCGATCGATTCAATCTCAGCCTGCTTTTTTAAAGCTGTTCCAACATGGTCTCCAGTCCCTCAGCCAAATTTGATGGGGCAGTAGTCGGCTGGCCATCCATAACAGATACAGCTGGGTGTCATCAACATATTGATGGCACACAAGCCCAAAACTCCTTGCCAGCTGGGTAAGGGGGTGCATATAGACGTTAAATAACATTGAAGAGAGGAGTGCCCCCTGAAGAACCCCACATAATAAGGGTTACCTAGAGAACACATCCTCACCCAGTGCCACCCTCTGTCCCCGACCTTGGAGAAATGTGGAAAGCCATTGAAAGGCCACCCCAAATACTCCTACATTGGTGAGGTCATGAGTCAGAAGATCATGATTGACTGTGTCAAATGCCAGTGTGAGGTCAAGCAACAACAGCAGCGCCGACCCACCTTGATCCAGCTGTCTACAGAGATCATCTGTGAAGGTGACCAGCACAGTCTCTGTCCCATGACCGGGGCGGAAGCTGAATTGGAATGGATCCAAAACTGATGTGTCATTCAGGAAGCCCTGGAATGGCTCAGCTACTGCTCTCTCAATCACCTTACCCAGAAATAGTAGATTTGAAACTGGGCAGTAATTGGCTGGATCTAAAGGATCCAATGATGGTTTTTTCAAGAGCAGTACAATCACAGCCTCCTTAAGACCATCTGGAAAGATCCCTATCTCCAGGGATCGATTGATAATATCCATTATAGGGCCTCATAGTCTCTCATCGCCAGCCTTAACCAGCCATAAGGGACACGGACCAAGGAGACATGTGGTTGGCTTGACAGCACCCAGGACCCTGTCAACATGAGCAGGCAAGAGCAGACTGAAGGAGTCAAAAACTGAATCTGAAGACAGCCAAGGGGCCTCCAGTTCACATACTGTGCCAACACTGGCAGATAAATCACAGTGGAGCGATAAGACTTTATCCGCAAAAAAGCTCATAATGCCTGAGAGCTAATAGTCGAATTTCTATGTCTATTTTGGTGCCTCTTACATTTTTCTACAAACCTGCCATTTTCCTCAGGTTTGTTGAAAGATCTGTCTTGTCTATCCATAGCCACAATTTCTAGATTTAAGCAGCCACAGATGGGGCCATGTTGAAAATTAGATATACTGACAGGGTAGATCCAGCTCACTTTTCCTCTTCATCTCACCCAATTTGCCACTTTATTGCAGCCCTCATCCCACATGGCTTTTGTCCATGCAGGTCCCGTGATCTCCAGCACCAGCATAGCTTTCTGGGTGGCCGAAGGGGAACTCTTACTCCCTTTTTCAACACAGGAAAAGCTGGTTGGATCTAACCCAATGTCCTTTCACAAAGCTAGCAAAGCATTTTGTAAAGCAGAAGAAAAACTGAACACAATTAGGGGAAATATTTAGTACAAGAAAACAGAAGTATCATAATAATAAAAAAAGAATCCTGAATTTTACAAGAGTTCTAGAGACTCACCATAAAAGGTAAGATAGCCAAACAGGGCAGCTAGTAGATACATGACAAGCATCCCAGTGATGGAGACATTGGAAACATTTTGCATCTGTTTCCGTGATCGGCTGCAGATGAAAATATGAAGAAATAAAATGCAATTAATTTATTATGGATTTTCAGGAAATATATGAAAATAGAACATAGGATGCCTTGTACCCAGGCAGTCCACTGGTCCATCTAGCATTATATTGTCTACTTTGAATGGAAGTTCTTCTCCAGCACCACAAGCCAAGAACAATAAAAACATACACATGAAATTGCCTTTTACTGAGTCAGACTCTTGATCTGTCAAGGTCCGTAGCAGCTCTCTGTGGTGTCAGGAAGAGGTCTTTCACACCACTTACTACCTGATCCTTTTAACTGGAAATGACAGGGATGGAATTTGGGACCTTCTGTGTGCAAACAAAATGCCACTGAACCAGAGCCATATCCACAATAGTCAATCCCAATAGTGGCTACCTGTGATCATTTAACTGGAAATGCTAAGAATTGACCCCGAGTTGTTCTGTGTGCAAAGCAGGTACTCTACAATTAAGCCATAATACTTGCCCCCAAACACAGCCTTTCTATACATCCAGGCTTTCAACAGACTATCATTCCAAGTATGTATATTCCAAAGCCTTTTCTAGAGATTTTATTCCTGACCTACTCTGCTTGGTGTCTTTATTTCATTTGCATCAGTTTTATACTGGATGAATTGTTATGTACCCCCCCATCCACCCAACAGCTCTAGCTGTGTGGCAGCTAGAGATCTGGAACAGTGTGTGTCTCACAAAACTACAGATTTATTGTGGAAAGACCAACATAAATTGGTATAATTTAGTAGTGCAGTCCAATGATCCTGCATACCAATGTCTTACCCTTTCCTGAGCTTGTTGTATAGCTTTATTTTATTCACTTCATTAAAAAAAAAACAATTTTATTCACTACATTAAAAAACAATTCATTAAAAAAGCTGTGCTTGTTTCTGCAATCAGAATGTATGGATAGCTATATTTCATTTAGAAATAAGGCAGAGGGAGAAGGAACACAGTGATCCTGCACAGAAAGGCTATTCTTCCCAATTTGTTACAGACAGATCATATAACATTCTCATCATTGGAAAGGCAGTATCAGTGAATGAAAAAAATAATAATTTTTACATGCTTTGGTATTGTGGTAACGCAGGTAAAGAATAGAAAGCAGAAATATCCAAAGAGTATAAATATAAAAACAATATCAAAATGATCCTTGCTTAATTACAGAGGTTGGAAAGGGTAGATCTGTGAGCAGTAATCTTACTTTTTCAGTTCACTGTATATGGGTAGAACTTCAGGGTGGCATACAAATGCAAATGCTAGGATTGGTATTGTGTAGGCAGTCTAAAAACAAAACAAAATCAAGGGTTCCAGTTTAGCATAGTTTAGTATTTCTACTTCTTAATTTGGCCAGTGTGACTGGCTTCAGGCTGCAATAAAGGTATTCTTTCCTTTAATGCTATATAATGACCAGTATGATAGAATATTTTGTATAACTATATCCCAGAGCAGGACCCAGAGCAGGTAAAAACTTCCTGATAATGAAAGATATCTGACTAAGCTTTAGAATTATGGTGGTCCTTAAGACTAATTGTCTAGTGGTCAATTTGAGCAGGAAGTGTAACTAACTGACCATCCTTGCCATTACCACAATGGATGTTCAACAACCTTGAGCCCCATTGGATGGGAGGAAAGGCAGGGTGTAAATATTTCCACTTACTAATAGAAATATGTTAAATAAAATTCTAAGCTTCATTTGTGTTGGGGAACATACCGGCATCAAATAGGCCATTTTCTGCCAAGCAAGTGATCACAGAGGCTTACCCGTGAGTTAAACACAAAATACTTGACTTGGCACTTGTCATTGTCTTCATTGTGAGCTTCATACTGCACTCCACTTTGATGCTGATCTTTGGTTTCTTCAAAACTTGAATAATGTGAATGGGTGCTTTCCATCATAAAATTGACTCCTGAATTAGCAGAATCATTTGGTAACATCACTATATGTATCGGAACTGTCGTGTTATTGTAGGACCAATTGCCAAGATCATTGTTCAAGAAAGGGAGAGGACAAGGTATTTGAGATTTCTTGTAGATCACCTGAAATAAGATGATGAAGACCATCTTTAGTTTTCAGTTGGTAGTACCATTACCCTACTGTAGTTGCATCAGCATCATGATATATATAAGATTTGTGCTGGGAAATTTCATGCTTTGCTGCAATTGGCATTTTAGGTAACTTTTCTTAACATCAAAACAAACACAGAAAAGCCATATTAAAATGTCAGTCATATGGAAGACAATTGTGGATGAGCACTGCAAAAAGCTGGAGCTATTATCCACACTCATCAAACTCTGCATCACATGTAAAGGTTCAACATACACTAGTAATGCTTTTTGTACAATTACTTACCACACTCAAAAAGAATACCATGCAGGTGAGTGAAAATCCACTTGTATAACCAAGGTACCCTACAAAAACAATAAAGCGAATGCACAAAAAGTTAACCCACAAGCAAAATTATCTTGTTAATAAAAAGGCTTAATCGAAATAAGCAATATGCATTTTAAGAAGGACGGAGGTTTACCTAAATTTTTTAGAAGCGAAAGCGGTAGAATAACTGCAATGCTCACAAATATCACGAGGTAGTTGCCATTTAGATACCATTCCCTAGAAGGAAAAAACCCCAGAGATGCTCTATTAATCAGTTATGTTAAAATTATAAGCACAGGAATGATTTTGATTGAATTAAAAATGTGAACACATACCCAGAATTTTCTTGAAGCCCCAGAAATGATCTGATTACCTCCGGAAGTTCATACTTAATAATAAAGAGGTAGCTTGACATTGCTGTAATGAGAAATACATTTAACTAGTAAAGATTAAGAGAGTAGGGTCACATTGACTGACTGACAAAACACTGAAAATGACCTTTTCCCCATCAGGTCACAGCTGTCTTAATGGCAATCCCATGGGGTTTTCAAGGCAAGAAACATTCTGAAGTGGTTTGCCATTGCTTGGCTCAATGTCATGACCCTGGTATTCTTTGGTGGTTTCCCATCCATATACAATCCAGGGCCAGCCCTGTTTCACCTCTGAGTTCTGATGAGATCAGTCTAGCCTAGGCTATCTAGGGCAGGGCAGAGAATGACCATGCGAAATGTATAGTACAAGAAGCTCAAAAATGTATGAAGGGCCCAAATAGATTAGGAGATCTGTTATCAGGCGCGTTTTTGTGCCCTTAAAAATTCCCCAAGGCCATTTCCCTCCCTGTATCTGCATTGCCTTGTATCCTATCCACTTTAATCAGCAAACTCTGAAGCCTTCCTTTAGTGTAAAGAGCCTTTCTCCAATGTCAGAAGCTCTTATACTGGAAAAGTGATTTATGCTGAAGGAAGCCCCTTAGGCTGGAAAAGGACTTCAGACTTTGCTGAGTAAAATGGTAGGAAACAGACCAGTGTTTTTGGACCTGTTTTGCCCCCAGTGAGAGAAACCTTGGAGGTAACTGTATGAATTCTTTTTACCTGCTGGAGAAAATGGCATGCATGAAAGGATTAAGTCCCCTTCTGGGTACTATGGCATTGATCTGAATTGGACCCAGGGTTGCCAGGTTCCATTGTCGCTCTGGCAGGGAAATTTGGGGGGCATTCTGGTGGTGGGCGGGGATACCACAAGCCCCGCCCCCAAGCCCAACCACATTTCATTCACAAAAAACTGTTTAAAGGGTCTTTTTGAAAGCAGGGTGGCAGCTGCAGCACTGATTTCCCAGCGGTGATTTGCTGCTTGGGATTCAGGCACATGCATCACCACCCCTCTTGCTGCAGGCCCTGCTCACAGCCAGCCCCACACGCCGCTGCTCCATTCACAGCGAGCGGGGCGCCATCGCATATGCCTGAATCCCAAGTGGTGAATCACTACTGGGAAATCAGCCCTGTGCACCATGGCCCCCACCTGCATGTGAAGAAGAAGAGCAGCTTACAGACTCCTTTCCTTTCCCTTCCCCACAACAGACACCCTGTGAGGTAGGTGGGGCTTAGAGAGTTCTTTCCAGAACTGTCCTTGAGAGAACAGCTCTTATCAGAACTATGGCTTGCCCAAGGTCATCCAGTAGCTGTAAGTGGAGGAGTGGAGAATCAAACCCGGTTCTCCCAGATTAGAGTCCACGCACCTAACCACTACACCAAACTGGCAACAGCCCCTCTCCCTCCCTCCTGAAAGATTTAAAGGGCCCTCCAGCTGATTGGCAGGCCACGTGCTCCCTGCTGATCAGTTGAAGCTCTTAAAATCTTGCAGGAGGGGAGGGAGAGGGATGGCCCCGGGTGGTCACTGTTGGGAGTGGGGCTTGGGGGCAGGGCTTCCCCCCACCAGTTGGCTGGAAACCCCAACAGTGGGGAAATCCCCACCCAGACCTGGGGGCTGGCAACCCTATTTGGACCTTCCCCCACATTCATGATTGCTTATAACTTAAAAACAATAATTGAGAGATCCTTATCACACATCCCTTCACATCAGTTTCACTTTGACCCTTAGCATCATGAATGTAAATACCTTAAGACTCGTAAGCCCAACCCCATGAGAGGCTGCTTCAGCACAGCAGCTCATAAGCAGAAGCTGACTGGGCCTCTCCATGCGTTCTTTCGTACCAAACACTGTGCTGTGTTTTCCAGTATCAAAGCATCCGTGACTAGGTCTGAATTCAGCTTTTCGGAATGCCTTTGCCAGCTGGCTTTGCATTCCCTGATAAAATGGGGCCATTTATTACAGCATCTCTTGTTGTCACATTGATGTCACTAACACAGCACATCCTCATATAAGATAAGTTCCCTTTCTGTTTGCTACTTTTGATTTCCCCCCCCATTGTCTTGCTCATGCCTTCAGAATCCTGTGGGATTTAGCCTAAAAATATTGTCTAAAAGTTGCCACAAATAATTCTCAGCATCTTGCCAATTTAGGGTTGCCAAGTGAATCAGGGGGAACAGGCGCAATGTATCTGGTGTCACACTGACGCAGCGATGTCACCTCTGCTGTGAACCCAGATGTGGCATCACTGTGACAGAGTGATACTCTAGCATTCACCCTAAATTGTGCCCTGTTGTGGTAACACCATTTTTTGGCTTGCATCAGAAATGACACTGTGATGTTGGTGAGACACCAATCCCACCCCCCACTCCCATTTTGCTCCCACTATTCCTTGGAGCAGCAGCAGAGGACTGGGGATGCTGAGCAGGAGGTCTCCCTCCAAAGCTGAAGACCTGGTACCTTTATACCAATCTTGTAAGGTATCTTTATTTTTCAGATGAGAGGAGGGGGAACTGGGCACAGACAAATGCTCTGTTAGCAAGACATTTTAGCAAGGTGACAGAGAATAAATGAAACGAAATAGATAACAGCAATATAATTGCTCCATCCAAACTGGAGAGGTGGATGTAAGTAGCAGTAAGTGTCTTGCCACTGGAAGGATGGATGTGACCCATGCCACATTACTATGGCATTGGGTGCCTCTGATTGAAAAGCAGCTTAGCAGTTTAGGGGTTTCTTCTCAGCTGGTCTCCATGGGATGGCAGCTGCAATCTGATTCATGAAGCTGAAATGTTAGAAGCAGCTTGGGGAGCCACAAGCATGCAAAATATCACAAGTATAAAAATCTGGTAGCATCCACCCGGCGCTACACATCAACCCATGTTTCTAAATTATAAATCTTATTTTGGCTTTTATGCAGACTGTCTAGACAGCACACTGGAAGGTCCATGACGGGATCTTCCCAGTGTTTTGCAATCATCTAATGTCCTGATTTGGACTGGAGCCATGCCAAAATGTGAAAGCAGATTTAAATCCCCCATCCCTCAACAACAGCACAGTGTGTATCAGGTGGTCAGGGATGGAATTATTTGTCTCCTTCTGTAGCCCTTCCCTAACTACGTGGCTGTAATTTACTTTTCAAAAACAAATGTGGAGATCCAATTATAGATCCTCCTGCCCCACACCGAGTCTGACCTCTGTGAATCCCATCCTTTGTGTGTGGGAGTGGTAAACTATATTCTACCACAAAATTAGTTTTCAGTATCAGAAAGTTCATTCATTAGCATACAGGTACTATCCTAAGCAATAAAATTGCCATTCTCTTTCTATTCATATAGTTTTTGAGACCTGTTGTCATGCTGACAGAGTTGTTCTTCTTTTGATGTAAGGCAAATTATTCTCATTTTTAAAAGCAAGGTGCGGAGGAAGGATGCCTTAATAAAACCCACAACCCACATCCTCAGTGTCCTCAGTTTTAGTTCCTTCTGTTTAGCCTACCCCGGTGCTGTTCTTCCTGGTGCTATATTCATTATTCACATAATTTGGCAGCCATTGTGAGGCAAGCTTTTGCACGTCAGGAAAGTGCTTAGAAATCTTCAGTTCAAACTGTATACCAGTATCAGAAGCATCTTACTATTGCTTAATTGTACTTAAACAAAAGAACCAACTCTGTGCTCTCATGAGTATAAATTTTTAGTTCTTGCCAGGGCTCTTTTTGTAGAAAAAGCCCAGTAGGAACTCATTAGCATAATAGGCCACACACAACAGCAGAAACTCGTTAGCATATTAGGCCACACCCCTGACAGCACAGCTCATTAGCCCATTAGGCCGCACCCCCATGTTACCAAAAGTGTGGTCATCCAGCCACACCCACCTTTTGCTTCTTATTCTGTTTACCTTGTTTGTTGTCAAAACCCAGAGGGCTTTTTTTGTAGCAGGAACTCCTTTGCATGTTAGGCCACACACCCCTAATGTAGCCAGTCCTAATGAGTTTCTGCTGTTGGGTGTGGCCTATTATGCTAATGAGTTCCTGCTGGGCGTGGCCAACTCGGGAGCCAGACAGAACTCCATTCCTGTGCGTTCCTGCCCAAAAATAGCCCTGTTGTTACCCCAAAATAAGCCCCATTAAAACTTGAATGAATAGTCATTGCCCCTTTTGTTCTCATAGGGTTGTCAGTCTCCAGGTGGTGGCTGGGATTACAGCTGACCTCCAGGTGACAGACAGCAGTTCCCCTGTGGAAAATGGGTGCTGTGGAAGGTGGACCCTATGGCATTATACCCCATTGAAATCCCTTCCTTCCCCAAACCCTGCCCTCCTCAGGTTCCACCCCCCCAAATCTCCAGGTATTTCCCAACCTGGAGCTGGCAACCCTATGTCCTCATGATGTTTGTGAGAGGTAGATCAAGCAAAAGAACTGCTCCACTATGCTAAGTCTACCAAAGAGAGACCTCCACAGGAAGGGATATCAGCAGAATTATGTTGTGGATGGTACATGAAGGCAGTGATACACAGTGGACCATTCCTTTCAAAGATCAAACTCTCCTTGGCCAGAGAAACCTCTGCACTAGTCTCTCCTCTCCGTACTGTGGCAGAATAACATGGAAGCCTCTTCTTGTCTGGGGTGGAACTTATCCTATTGCTGTCCTATTAATGTCAGAAGGCAATTTTGAGGTATTTGTTCACTGTTCTAATTCCCTATTCTGGCACTTCACAAAGCAAAGAGGTCAATTAGGCTTGAGCACTTTTTTCCGAGGCAGAGGTTCTTCCCCTCTCTCCCAGCACTGCCTCTAGCCCAAAGAGAGGGAATCAAGAATTACTCTTCGTGATTTCCAGTACTGACTGTAGCCCTTTCACCCCACTGCTGTAATTCCAAGAATATGCATGACTCTTCTTGGGTTATAAGTTCCTTTGGATTATGTTATTGCCACAGATAGAAGGCATATTTTAAAGCAGTCAGGGAGGCACAATCCATTTATCTGGAAAGCTCCTTCAGCCAGCGTATGCATGGGGTTTGTGGCAAGTGAGAGTGTGGTTACACGCGCCAGATAAAATGGGGAAGGGGGGGAAGCGAGACTATTTCCTCCGGAGGAAATAGACCCGCAGTTGCACGATCACACCTCCCTTGGAAGCTACGGGCACAGCCCATCAGTGTGTGATCAGACACAACTGCGGGTGAGTTGTTTTTTGTGGGTGTGCTGTTTGTTTCCCATGCGCTTAAATGAGGAATCAATGAACTGCACTGCCGCACTGAGGGCTCCCTATGGAGTTTGTGATGATGCGCATACAGCGAAGGGGGAGGGATAAAACAACAGCTCAGAGTCGGGATGGCCTGATCAGACCATCCTGACAGCATGAGAGCGCGCTGGAGAGATCAGACAAGGGAAAATCCGTTCGTGGCCCATCACACAACCCGTTTACTACCGGATTTTCCCTGGTGTCTTTTAACTCCACTTCTGCGGCAGAACAGAACGGGTTGTCGATGGCTGTGGGGCGCTTCCCAGATGTTAATGTCTGATCGCGCCCTTTAAATCCGCCTGGCATTCACGCCTATTTCGGGTCTAATTGTGCATATGATCGCAGCTTGACACTGACAGGAAAGGATATGGGCAATTAAAGGGGACCTTCAAAGACGTAGGGAGCCAGGACTCCGGCACCCCATCCTTCAAGAATTGTTAAAAGGTTATTTCCCACTTACCTCCAATGTTTTGCATTGTAAGAGAAACAAAGGCACTAAGTTTTCCAGGCCATCCAAATGCCTTTTCACCTAATTTTTCATATATTAGTGAGCCTAGAAGCAACAGAAAATTAATACTTTTATTTAAAATGTTTTTGACGGGTTGAGCTTGTCATGACTTTTGAGGTAGTACATGCATGTGGCTACCTTACGGAATTAAAAGTGGATGCTCAGGCCATGATCTGGCATAAGAACTTTTAAATTCAATAGGAATGTTAAGCATGCACTTAAATTTCTCCCATTGAAATCAGTGGTAAGTAAAAATTATTTAACCTTGGGTGATGTGGGATTGTTTATTTTATTTGTTTATTTCAAACATTTTTATGCCGCCTTTCCACCTGATCAGGGTCCCCAAGGTGGAGACCATGAAAACATTAAAACATTTGAACAATTAAAAGCAACACTAAAATATGAAAATAATTCTAAAAACTGTTATTGGGGTATGCCAAACAAAACAAAAAAGTCTTCACCCACTGGCAGAAGAAACCGATAGAGGTAAGACAGATGAATCTCCCTTGGGATCTGAAGTTTTGGTGCCATGACTAAGAGAGCCCTTTCTCAGGTCATCACCTATCTAGTCTCAGATGGTAGGAGCAACTGAAGCAGAGCTTCCAAAGATGACCAGAACGAAGCAGGCAAGGGAATTACTTCATCCTGCTTAATAGTATGCTAGTTAGCCTGTCAATTTTGTCTTCCAGGTTGGGTTCTGCCAACCCAGAATGAACTAGGGATTATCAACTTCCCATTTTGGAGAAAGAGCAGGAATTGGATGTGATATTGTGCTATGTTTTGACATCACATCGGGGCAAAAACCAGCTCTAGAAACTCTATGGGAATACTACAGAGTTTCTAGAGTGTCAGCTGAGACACTGATGTCACACCTGGGTTTTAGGGAAGTACTGCCTGGTTTTTACCCAGATATGACATTGGCATATAGTGCAACATCACATCCATCCCTTGGCCTGTCCCCAAAGCTCCCAGGTGCCACATCCCTCGAATGAACCCCCAGTTAATAATAAGTACATTGCTTGCATATCATACCTCCTTCCTTAGCTGTCTTCAGTAACAGGTGAACTGAATACAGAGACATTATGGCCACACTAAACAGTAAGACTCTGCATGAAAAAAACAAAATACAGAAACAAAAATATATAAATAATAATAATAATAATAAACAAAAATATATAAACAATAAAGAAATTTGCTGCCCAGTCTTACATCTGTTGACACAAGCATGTACACAGTTCAACACAGGGGGTATCGTTTCAAATTTTAGTGGGGGATGAACTAGATTTACATCAGTGTTGAAGATCAGCCTTTGAATACAGCCCAAATTAAAACACATTTACCTAGAAGCAAGATCTCATAGAACTCAGTGGGATTTACTTCTATTGAAGGATCTGAACTACAAATTGTAAAAAAAAATCAAAAAATCAATGTATTTTAATTTCAAAAGATTTTTAAAATTCTGAAACATTGTTACAGAATATTGTGCACCATCTTTTGGGTTCCCTTGAGCTCTTCATCAAACTGAATGCTAAGTACAAAACAAGCAGGGGGAGGGGAACAAGAGTACTTAACATTCAGTCTGATGTAGAGTCCTAGGGAACCTGAAAGCTTGAGCTCAGTATTTTGGGATTTTTTGGTTGGTCTCAATCAGAAACTTTTTAGGAGATAAAACCATTTGTTGAAGTGGGATCATTTAAAAAAACTCTCTGGTTCTCTGAAAAATTTAGCTATGGTTTAAAACTCGTTCAGAGGCATCTGTTGTTGCCTGTCAAAACATATGCTGTATAGATAGTATGTCAGCTACATGTCATTAACTGTCCACAGTGCTAGCACATTTGGCTTGCTCAGATTTTAGAAGGATGACAAGTCTGTAGCTGCATTACTATTCATGACGTTTCAGATTTAGTTCCATATGGATAGAGAGCATTTGCCTTCCACAGTAGGGTGGTAGCACTCTAATTACACAGATATATAATTAGGAGAGCTATTTATTCCTTAGGTAAATTTTTCACACTTGGAATTACAGTGCTGCTGTTGGAAAATACATGGTGGAAAATAAAGAGATCTACCATTTTTATTTTTCCCGTTTTGTCTACAGAATATAAATTTACACCAGAGACACATGCAGCATAATTGACCATTAATAAATGTATCAGTCAGACTTGTATCATGACAAAATGAGTGTTGCTAAGTATTTTACAATATGTACCCTGCTTCCAGGTTAAAGTATGTTAGGGAGAGTTCATTCTTGACCCCAGCCAGTACATCTGTGTTGGATTAAGCTTTTATTTATTTATTTATTCGTTCATTCATTCACTTTTATCCATCTTTCCCCCAGTAGGAATCCAAGGCAGCTTTCAGAAATGATAAAAATATATGAAACAGCAAGAAAATTATATATAAACCCTGAGTCATTCATAAGCAGTATAAAGTGGTGCACATGCAACAGAAACCAACCATCTAATCAACTAGCTGCCTAAACTGACAGACATTAATCCCCCAGTGGAAAATGGAACAGCTCATTTCTTTCTCCTCCTACATTCTGAAACACAGTCAGCTGAGTGACATCATATTTTTAAGCACTGACTTAGCAGTGGGAACTACATGATCAGCACAGGCACAGCCTCATTTACACTTTCAAAGTCTCAACGTACCCATATTTACTTAAAAGGAAGATGACCTGGACTGTAAGATGACCCAATTAAAAATGCTGTACACACACACAATTATTAGTGGACATAACTGTGACTTGTATGTGAATGTAAGATGATCCTCCTCTTTTTTGATAGCATACCTGTGAAAAAACCTAGCCTGCAGATACAGGATAAAATACGTACAGATTGTTCTACTCATAAGTGAGGTCCTAGTCCATTCCTAATGCTGCCCATATCTCTATGAAAGAGAGGAGCAGTTGATAATATACACATGTGCAATGCATTTTTATATACTACTATACACAAAATATAAGTTTTTTTATTAAATAAAAATTATATATATAAATAATATCTCCTCTGTGTTTTGTAAACTTTGGGACTGGTGACCTTTATAGCAATCTTATAAGAATGTTTTCTCAAGATCTTAGGCCGCAGTCACACGGTCATTTTGATCGGGTTTCGCTGCTGTTTCCTCCCACTTTTAAAATCACTGACCAGTAGGGTTGCCAACCCCCCCGGTAGGGCGGAATTCCCCCCGCCCCGGAGGCCCATCACCCGACGCGGGGGAATCCGGGCCCGGGGGGAACTCCACCCCAGCGTGCGCGTCACCCAGATGGTGTGGCCCCGCCCAGCGTGTGACGTGCGGCTCCCGGACCGGCAAGACGATCCCCCGCCGGTAGGGAGTTTTGATTTGGCAACCCTACTGACCAGATGGGCTAATCTGCCTCCTGCACTGAAGCGGGCTCACTCCCACAATGCTCCTGGTTCTCTCCTGCATTTTCCTGCACCAGGAAAATCAAGTACTTTCCAAGTACTTTCCAGGTATTTGCGCTTTGAATGCACAATTATGCTGATCTGGACAGCCATCTCTTGCAATGATTGCGATTAGGCTCATCTGACTGTTCTTCATGCGATGAGGTTTCCCCCCCCCAGCTTCTACTTTTGAGCGCATGAGCACTCCCTCGCTGAAAAAATTCTACATTTAAACGTTCAAGCACACATCCAGAGCAGAGCTTGTGATTCTGCCCACCCCCAGGAGCCCCTGGTGCGGCATTAGATGGGAGGGAGCACCTGGTGCCAGGGAGCAGAAGACAGCATGGAAAGTTGCTGGGGGAGGAAGCCAGTGGGTGGGGAAGGAAGTGCTGGGCGGGCTGGCAGGCGAGCAGGCTGCAGAGCACGCCCCAGGAGGCCCTGAAGCTGCGGTGGCAGGAAGGAGGGAGCCCCCGGCGCTGGGGAGCGCGCCCAGCTTGCCAGCAGCATCAGAGGGCAGAACCCCTCTACCCCGGCCCAACTTTTATTTGCCCCATTTTGTGGGACATAGTAAGTTTTTCAAACCAGTCCTCAGCACACATAAAAGGGATGGGATGGAGCAGCAACCCTTCAAACAGGAGCCTCTCGGAAAAGAAACTGCTCTGGAAAGGCAACAGCCACGCACCCACACCCACGCATGTTTCTCCCACTTGGCCACCCTTCTCCATTTCCGCCAGCTGGGCGAGACAGGCACAGCAGCAGCAGCACTCACATCTTGGAAGATCGCCAGTCCCTGGTGGCGGGAGGGAGCCCCTGGTGCCAGGGAGTGCGCCCAGCTTGCCAGCAGTATCAGGCAGGTGGCAGCATGGAAACTTGCTGGGGGGGGGAGGTGGGAGAAGGGGGAAGGAAGTGCCGGGTGGGCTGGCAGGTGAGTGGGCGGTAGAGAGAGGGGCCAGCTGCACAATGCTTGCCATTCAGGGAGGGATGTGTGAACATCCCAACCCGAAAAAAAAATCCCGATTAAATTTGTATCGGGAAGAAATCACAATTGCCTTGCCGTGTGAACACAGCCTTACTCTACAATTAGAACATACCTGTGATGGTAGAACAGAATGCTAAATCAACCTTTTTTAATGCATATCCTGGGTACTTACATAAAAAGTACAATTCCAGTATTTGCCATGGCATAGGAAAGTCCTAAGATGCCACTGCCCATGATGGCATTACTCAAATTAAATGCAGACATTCCAAATGAAGTATCTCCTGGGTGCTGGTGGAAAACAAAAAGCAAAAAGTATCACTGGTTATGTCAGTGAAGGCAATGTTAAAGAAGTCTCCTTACCTCTACACTTTTGCAAGCTAAATCAAGGCAGTCTTCCAAGTGATACGACAAATTGCTAAATACTGTGATTTTAAACTGGCTTTTTCTGTATAGTACCATTTATTGACAACAATCACACATGAACTATGGACTAGACAAAATATTTCCCATGAAAGTGCTATGGTCTTATTTTTCATCCTAGTTCTACAAACACTTACTCCACAGACATCATCCTTGACACTGCACTCATTGATGTTTGCAGGACTAGCACCATAGAGCTGTAAACATATGGCTGAGCAAGCAGAAAGCATTTATGACAGAAGATCTTGCCTTGCCTTCTCCTTCATACAGCAGCCACCTGTGCCCCCCCAAACATCATTGGGTGGGGTCACGAGACCCTTCTGGACAAAAAGCTCCCAGCTACTAGAGGCTGCAGTGAGGAGGGGGAATCTGGTAAAATTACCCCCACCTCACTTGTGCCACTGGCAGAGGAAATGCAGCAAAGAAAGCTTTCCATTGATGCAACAACCAGGAGAACAATTTTGTCTGATTCCATCTCATCCCTATAGCCCCCATTGTCAGAATGGAACTTTCCTGCTTCTCTCCCCCCCCTCCCATTGTAGCCAACTGATCTCCACCAAATGCTGCTTCTGGGGGACAGGGGACCCTGAGGAATAACATGAGGGCAGGAAAGGGGAATCAGTGTAAATTGTAGATTTAGTCTGGCTCCAGCCCTTTATATTTGCAGGAACATCTAATGCTTGGAACTACAAGAGTACATTAAAAAAGATGTTCCCTAGAACAAGAATTTATATCTGGTAGTTTATGATGTAGCATATAAATAAGAAATTACTACCATAGTTCTGCTATTGTTATTTAACTGATCTGTGTTCTGCAAACAATGATAGCTCAACTGAAACTCTACTGGATCTCTAATACGTATGAAAAAGGATATTTTCATTTCATGCCAGGAACTGCTAAATTGAATGTGAATGCAAAATACCCCAGGTCACTGAAATATTTGAAGGGTATGTGAGAACTGTAAATTGCACAATGAACCATTCTATCAAAGATTATTAATTTCTGAAAGTTATTACACTTCAGTGGAAATTTGCATTGTTGCTCTAAGATTTGTCATCGTGTTAAAAAAGCATTCTTTTCTATAAAAAGAGCTAACATTTGTGTATCTGAGACCAGTTCTCTCTCCATTACTTAATTAAAAAATCCGTATTGGAATGTTGTTGTACACAATAAAAAGAGACATTTTAAATGAGAATTGCTGGGTAATTATATTCTCACTTCAAGGTGAAAACTTGTTAGTTTGGTATCTGAAAACTTAAAGCTTACATTTAAATTGTATATCACTCACAACAGAAGTACAGGCCTGTAAAATTTAGGCCAGTTCCCTGAAGACTTACCATTGCAAGTTCAAAAGTTATACATAATGGGATCATGCCCAAGGAATAACTGAGCTACCTGAAATTTCATTACAGGTAACTATGAGGGAAAGAAACAAAATAAAACTGTAGCTGTCAAAATGTTGCTGTCAAAAAGAATTCGTTTTTTCAAGAAATTAGGGACAAAGTTGTGTTATCAGAAAAAAATTCTCAGCTACGTTTTTTAAAAGAAGAAGAAGAGATTGAATTTGTACCCCACCCTTCACTTGGAGTCTCAGAGCAGCTTACAAACTCCTTTCCCTTCCCCTCCCCACATCAGACACCCTGTGAGGTGGGTGGGGCTGAGAGAACTCTGACACAAACTGCTCTTTCAGGAACAGCTGTGCCAGAGCTTGTGACTGACCCAAGGTCACATCAGCAGGTGCAAGTGGAGGAGTGGGGAATCAAACCCGGTTCTCCCAGATTAGAGTCCGCGCACTTAACCACTACACCAAACTGTCTAAGTAGAGGCACATTCATAGAGTTGGACTCCAAATACTTTCCTGAAGATCAGATGCTTCCCCCCCCCAAAGGGCCATTTGGAGAAGGAAGAGAGAAGGCAGGGGTTTGTGGAACCCCCAATTTCATCTCCCAAAGTGACCTTCCTGCAAGCTCCAATGTCACTGGCACCAATCCCTTCACACTCTTGTTTTGTATGTGGGGAAAGGAAGTCTGGAGGACCCTCACACCAAATGCTGCTCCAAGCGGTTGTGAGGGAAATTTTAAAAAAACAACTCACCAGCATCACAAGCATGATGATATCATTTTTTGGGAAAACCTGGTAGTGAGTGGCAGCAGTAGCTCTAGGAAGTGGTATCTCTAGGGAAGTGATGTTATCATGCTCGTGCCACAAAAAAAAAATCATGCTCATGCCACCGACCCCCAACATGTCCCCAACCCTCCCACCATTTTCTAGGTTTGGCCTGGCAACCCTAGACTGGTCCAAGGCATTTTGGTGCCACAGGTAGAAAAGTCATAGAAAACTTTCCCCCTACGTCTGCAACTTGTTGTTTGAAATTATATTAATAATCATTTGCTGACTCTTACTGTGCTACCGGGCTCATACTGCTCTTTGAAATGCTGTTCCTAGAGGTCAAGGAACTCACAGGAGTAGGTCATGATCTTGGATTATGAAAGATGGTAAAGATTGTTTCCTCCTTGCATGGTCAGAAGTATCTTCAGTTTGTAGAAGGTGCCTTTGGATCCAACCCATTAGTAACAGTGGGTTGTATTCTACCAAACTTCCACTGTTAAAAGCAGATATTTCCCCTCTTCCCCCAGCAACCTCCTAATACTCCTGACAAGATATTGGCGGGGGGGGGGGTCATAGACAAACAGCTACATGTGTTGGTGGACTAGGGTTATTCGGCAAGATCAGTCTTCCTCCTCCTCCTGTCAGTGGATCACTGGTAGGATACCCAATGACAGCAGTCCTTCTAAATTGCTAGCCTTTGTAATTTGTTTGAGGAAAAAATACATTCAAAGCAGTGATTTGTGACAGGCATCCCTGCTTTCAAATGCTTCTTTTCCTACAACTCACCCATTACTAATAAACTTACATATTCATCCTTATAGTCTTCCAATTTCTTTTTACCCAGAAATCCATTGGTAAGGAACTTCTGACTTTCTGATTCATCACCAACAAACTGACTGAAGACAAACAAACAAAACAATAAAATAAGAAATAAATCTCATTGCACTGTAAGTCATAACTGGGTTATGTTTTACATATTGAAGTCTTACTATTTCTATGCAGTACAATCAAAATTGTTGAAGAAGCCTTGCTTCTTCTATTGTAAATTAAAAATGAAACCCATTCACTACTATTTGAGTAAGAATTGCCTAGGATAGGTATGCTGAATTAGTGGTCCAGGAGAAGACTTCCAATCTGCAGTCTGTAATCTACCCTCTCTGTTTCCCTTAGCCCCTCTTCTCGACTCCTTTTTGAATTGCTGCTTAGTAGTGTGTATGTGTGTATAGAGGGGACAGACTGTTCAGTGAGGCATTGTGCAGTGTGTAAAGAGGCTAGCCTAGAACTTGCAGAAATTTCACATTAAAATGCAGAGTATACTGAACTTGAATGGACAAATTGTACATAATAGGATATCTTTGATATGGTGGGGATGGGGAAATCACCCTACTAATTGAATTTAAAAAGACACTTTGCTTAATTCAATAGAGACAAGTTTTACCAGCAGAATCCAAAACTTAAATCATGCCATTTATTTCTAAAGTGTGTTTTTATTAGAAGCTAGGGATGTACATTTGGATAGTAAATAATTAAGGTGGCAACTGAAAATTCTAAGTTTATGAATAAACTTATTCCAACTAAATCAAAAATGAAAAAAATTCGTACCCAGAAAGCTTCCGATTGGTCCACTATTCTAGTCCCTAGCTCTCTAGCTTAGTGTTCATAGAAGTTAGAAGGAATGAGGTGAGGAGAGACTGAACAACCAATAATGGAACTGACAAGAATGTGTTCCAGGCAAATCTTGCCATCAAAGGAGACTACACTGATAGGTCTCTCTTTCCAAAGTGTTTCCCCTAATCACATTACTGGTTCACTGGTGTGCATACAGGTTTCATTCTCTTTAATGTTATACTAGCTTTCCTCTGGACTCCAGGGTTTGTCAGTAATATGTGTGGGCCACAATAATTAACACACAAACATATATACATACAGATGCCTTAGTGTAAAGTTTTCTGTACTGGAGGATAAAATGACATGAGAGGAAAGAGTTAAAAAGCCCTGTCAGCTCACTTTAAACTGCTCTCCAAGCAGTGGCATGAAGTAAAGCAACATCAGTTAAAAGGATCATGGATTACATATTACACATTGTTCTGCCTTGGGGAAAAGAAGGAAAGACTTATACACCAGTGTCACAGAGCACTGGAGTTCACTGTGGGGTTGACTCTGCAAGCTGTTTCCTCACCCGGTCAGTCCCTGCATGCTTCATACAGAGTCTGCCCTACACTTCCAGAAAATGAAGTGCCCAGTTGCACTTTATTCGTAACAGTATTCGTGCCCACTCTGCATTGCTCCCTGCTTTCTTGGCTTCCATCTGCCTCTCTATGCAAGCAAGAAGTTATACAATAGAAATGCTTTCTCCTATAAATGTGAAACCAGACAGTTAGGATCCCTTAGGTGAGAATACAATCCCTTACTGTTTCCGCTCAACTGGATTGGGGGTGGATGGGGATTTATACAGCCAGAAATGTGTTTTCGTTGAAGCTGGTGGAAACCCAAACTAACTGCAATAACTAAAATCAGTATCTTTAAATCAATAACAAATTTAAAGAAAGCAAATGAACTGAAAACAAAAAACCATTGCAAAATGTGAAATCTGGGCTCCTGGTGCTATGCCTGCCAATTCTCTTGTGCAGTCAAAGCCTTCCGTACCTGCTAATAGTGGCCTTCTCTGGATCCCCCATCTCAGTGTAGTTGTCTTCAGTGCTTTCCCCACTGTTGCTCTCCTCGTCAAGCTCTATGTTGATTTTGTGCAGCTCCATGCGGTCCATTTGAGTTGTCAGCAATTTTCAGTATACACACTCCGAGGCGTCTTCAGTGTCAACAGAACTGTACCTTCTGCTTTAAGGGTTCTGCCACCACAATATGTTGACTCTCAGAACACTCTGTTCTATACACAGGACACAAAAGTCCTCATTAACATTCTCCTCAAATTAGATAAATTAGTGTTTACTTTTTGTAATAAGACAGGAACTTAGACAAGAAGACATTCTTTTCAAATAATTATAAAGAAGAAATATTTCTAATGCTCAATAATCAAGTGATTTACCTCAGCACAATTAATTAATATAGTGAGACTCAGGCTTACCCTCCTTTCCCCAAAATGGGACCAAGGAAGCTTATTTTTTTAAAAAACACAACCCTGTTAAAAACATACCAGATATCTAAAACTACAGCTTTAAATACTCAGCACTGTAGAAAGCATTCTCTAGAGAGCAATCTTAAGCAGGTCTACTCAGAACCCTTTGCAGGTCTATTTAGAGGTCTTTCTATAAACATCCTGTTTGCCTCAGGGCTTTTTTTGCAGAAAAAGCCCAGCAGGAACTCATTAGCATAACAGGCCACACCCAACAGCAGACACCTATTAGCATATTAGGCCACACCCTTGACATCTCAGCACATTAGCATATTAGGCCGCACCCCCATTTTTACCAGAAGTGTGGTCATCCAACCACACACCCCTTTTGCTTCTTATTCTGTTTACCTTTTTTTGTAGCAGGAACACCTTTGCATGTTAGGCCACACACCCCTAATGTAGCCCATTCTAACGAGTTTCTGCTGTTGGGTGTGGCCTATTATGCTAATGAGTTCCTGCTGGTGTGGCCAACTCAGGAGCCAGCTGGAACTCCGTTCCTGTGAGTTCCTGCCCAAAAATAGCCCTGGTTTGCCTCAACTAGCAAACTATGTTCAATTTCAAATGCAGTTCTAAATTTTTTACCTTGGTCAGATTCATATAATGGACTATTCAGGGGTAAGAAGTTGTTGATGGATCTTAAATATAACGTTGAACAAGGTCAGAGCTGAATGACCAAACTATGTTTCCCCAGTCATAACATCTGAATTTTAATCAAGATATTCTTATGTTGGAAGCATTAAAACCTTGACATTCAGATGTACTGGGCATATTTGTTAGAATATATGTCAATTTAAAATTGGCTCATTTCTGTTTTCTGTCTTACATTGACAAGATTCACAAATGGTGCTTTCCACATGAAAATATGTCATGTGTAGAAATGTCCAGTTTACACTAAATGTGTTTAGTGGTTTTCTTGTGATGTATATTTGAATGCCAAACAGTAATTGTATTGTGGTTGATAGTGACTGCAACTTAACACCTGTATTTGAGAAAAGTGTCTGTCTTTCAGACATATTTGATTGGCTGGATACTTTGGCAGCTCTCCCTGGGAGAAGAACATCCTGTGACAAAAAAGCTGCACCACGAAGTAAGAAGAAGAAGAAGAGTTGGATTTATACCCTGCCCTTCAGTCGGAGTCTCAGAGCGGCTTACAATCACCTTCCCTTCCTCTCCCCACAACAGACACCCTGTGAGGCAGGTGAGGCTGAGGGAGCTCCTCTTGAGAGAACAGCTCTGAGAGATCTGTGACTGACCCAAGGTCACCCAGCTGGCTGCATGTGGAAGAGTAGGGAATCAAACCCAGTTCTCCAGATTAGAGTCTGCCGCTCTTAAGCACTACAGCAAACTGGCTGTAGTACAACTGTGCAGACAAGTATAATATCTCTGCAGTCCCACTGAGGAGTGTGAAGGACATCAGTGAAATATTTAAAGACTCAGTGCTACATCAAGTCACCTGCTTTTCCTTGTTCCCTTCTTTCTTTTCTTCCACACTATTTCTGTCTATTCCAAAATGATTTTAAGAAAAAAGCCCTTCAAAAGTTCAGCTTCCTCCCTATAACAGCATCTGGATATCCTGTCCCTATAGCCTTAATCCTATCCGGACATCACCAACTCCAAGATAAACACTTTTCTCCTGTTGCTTGTAAGTGCTGCCTCTACCACTGCAGGGTCACTGTCCGGTTCAATCACTCTTTCTTTGATATAAAAATGGTTGTCTTCCCTGCAGAGGACACCTCCAACTACTTGCTGGCTCTTTCCACATCTCTTTCTTCCTCAGATAGTTACTATCTCCCTTTCAGCCAAGACTTCAAGAAGGACCATTTAGTCTGCTTTGAGATCCATCATCTTCCTAGCCTACCATTCTTCAAACACACAATGTGGAAACCACATAAGCCGTTCTAGAGATACTGCAATATGACTTTCCCCTCCTCTTCCCCGATCCACTTCTTCTCACTTTCCCAGTGTGCTTGGGGTTCTCACCTCCTTCCTTTTAGACTAGTACTGGTAGTCTGTGAGTATCCATTGTAAATAAATACAGTTGCCTTGACACAGTGATTGCTTCTGTGTAATGGAACTCAAATATGAACTCTTTGCCAGTACAAATCTACTCATTTTATTGAAAGAGGTACATGTCTAGACATTCTGTGTATATGTTAGCATTCATGTGAGGTTCTGCATTGTGGTAACTAATTAGTATTGCACCATTTAGTAGAACAACATATATGAACTGTAGGTTCATGCACCCACTACAATCTCTGCTTAACAGTACAGAAAGCTTAAAAAGGGCAAAGGGGTGGTAAACAATCACAAACATCTGATTCACTATCAAGCAATCACCCATTACCAATAGATGCATTTCTTACCATAAAGATCCAGCATTTATAAACTCCATACTCCCACAAATATATTACAGACCATTTACACTAGAATATATTCCCAGTTATATTGGGAGGGAAGTGACTTCACGTATATTGAATCCAAGTTACCGTTATGATCCAAATGTACATGTACATGCTAATTGTTTAATACCTGTTTTCTTCAACAGCTCAAGAACTATTTTTAAACTTATAATGAAAGTTACTGCCAAAAGTAACCTCTTTACACAGAAGAGGCAATTGAATCACAGTTACCAGCCAAAAGTCTACCAATCCTGGGTCTGCTAGTATAACACATTACCTTCAATAGATCAGAAAATTCAACACCATCAAACATCAAACACAACATGTATTTGAAATATTGACAATACTTGAAAATGAAAAGATTATATAAGAAACCTCAGAAAAATAAACAGTTGCAATTTCTTCTTTTGTGTTTAGCCCCTTTTCTTTTAATTTGATAAGAATTTTTGTATTGTTTCCTATGTAGAAGAGTAAAGTCCACTCAATGTGTCACAGTTCTGCTGGGTCTAAATATGCCATTCCAAACAAACACCCAGTCATACATTTATTTATAGCACTTAGTTACAGCCTGAGAGCAATAAAATGGATGTGTAGAAATCATAAAGGTATTTCCCAGTATTAGCACAACAGCTAGAAGTAGACCACAAAACCCATTATTTGTAATCTAAAACCAGAAGAGAAACAAAATAATGCCAAGCTGCTTAATATGGTTTCCTACCAGGGAAAGCCTTTCTTCATATTCCTTCCAGTGATCACTCCAGTCTTGTAAGTGACAGTGAACACCGAATCTGGCATTAGCTCAGGGAAAGTCAGGCTTGCATTCCAGGGGCCTGATTCCTGAGCTACAAGGAACTCCAGTCACAGCAACACAAAATCAAATTGCTTTTCTTTTGCTAGAGGCATAAAAACAGGCATTTTATCCTCTGGGAAGCAGAACGAAATTGACTAATGCCCAAATTATGCTTAAAATCTATATGTATGCTTAAATGACTGGGAAGTGTAACTGAATTTTAAATGATATGTGAAATCAAGTTTGAAAACTAGAAAAACACAGGTTTCAAAAACCAACATACAGTCTTTGCTCTCCCACCATCACCTACTTTTGGGATTATAAATTCAATTCTGGGGGGAAATGGTTTAGAAAAGATATTACTTAGGCTATCTGGACAAGGATTTAGGTTAATGTATAACTGTATAAACCAGCCAGTTCAATACTTCTTGGCAACATCTATTTATATTTTCGATTCTCTGTTTTACAAAATCCATTATGATAATTAACCTGATTCAGCAAAGGCCCTTACATGTCAGTGATCTTTTTGTATTGCTTATACCTGAAGCAGTTGCAAAGGCACATCTGGATGCACATCTGAATTCCAGAGCTTATATGGGCTTCACTGAACTGGCAAGATTGCATTTTTTAAAATGTGGATGCAGATGTGCAGCATTCTCTAGGGTTGCTACCTGTTACAAATGACTAGATTAGAACTGTGCCAACATTATTGGGTCTGACCTCATAGCTAAGGGCCTGTTTGAGATGCCTGGTTATTGTGAGATAAGAAATAAGTAACTTGTTCCACTGTTATTATTTAAAAAATGTATAGCCTACCTTTGTCCTATTAAAATAGCACCCCAAACAGTATCAAATGACATTAAATGAAAATTAATCATTAATTAATTTAAGGAATTAAGTCAAGGAATTTGAAATTGAATTTATTCAAAGGAGTAAAAGTAAACATTGGCACTTGCTTGTCATCTGCTTCATCACAGGATAGTGAACATCATGACAGCACAAGGAAGGCCAATACCTTGGCTATTCAAGGAGGTGAGCAGAATTCATAGTTCAAGGCAGATCATAGTGAACCAAGATTATGATGAAAAATATGAATACAATCCTAAATATACTTACTCGAAAGTCAGTTCTTTAAATAAGTGGAACATACTTCTGAGTAAACATGATTAAGACTAAACATCATCATATTATCTAGGGAGTACTCTACTACTGTGGCTCCATTCCTATCTAGTGAGTTGATCCCACGGGGTGGCGCTGGGGGACTTCTGTTCTTCTCCCTGGCATTTGTGCTATCTCACATGCTATTAAACATCTATATGAAAATGATGGTGAAAGTTGTCTGTAGATTTAGGAGAAGGTGTCATTAGTATGCTGATGATAAACAGCTCTATTTTTCTTTTTCATCTCATTCATTAGATGTTCTGAACAGATGCTGAGAATCAGAAGTGGGCTACAGTGCGGTCAAGAAACTGAAACTCAACCCAGACCAAATGAAGTTCTCTTGGGAAGAAGAGAAGAAGAGATTGGATTTATACCCCGCCCTTCACTACCCAAAGGTGTCTCAGAGCGCCTTACAAACTCCTTTCCCTTCCCCTCCCCACAACAGATACCCTGTAAGGTAGGTGGGGCTGAGAGAGCTCTGACAGAAACTGCTCTTTTTCAAGTACAGCTCTTATCAGAACTACGGCTTGCCCAAGGTCATCCAGCCAGGTGCAAGTGGAGGAGTGGGGAATCAAACCAGGTTCTCCCAGATTAGAGTATGTGCACTTAACCACTATACCAAACTGGTATAGTGAGGGCTATTCAACCTATTCTGGAAAGTTTGCAGTCCCTATAGATGATCAGTTTTACAGCTTGGGGGTATTTTTTAGCTCCGGCATGGAATATGGATGTCCAAGTGGCATCTGCATTCCAAATCACTTTTTCTACTGTGCCAGCTGCAGTCCTGCTGCAGAAACCCTGATTTTGCCATAGTTATCCATGTTGTGGCAACATGAAATTACTGTAAAGCATTGTATGTGGGGTATCTGGAAGCATCTGTAAACTTCTCAAGGTTCAAATTATAGTGGCCATATTGTTGCCTGGGTCCCACAGAACTGATCAGATCTCTGCTACATCTCTCACATACCTACATGTTTGTTAATACTATTAAAACGTTTTAATCCAGCTGGGCTTTGAGAGGTGTTTGAACCCTAATTAACCAAATATTTGTGAATTTAGTCACTTCTGGTCATTTTTTTTTTACTGCTATATCGTGTTATTTTTATTATAGTTGATTATTTTACATTTTGACTTAATTCTGACACAATAAAGCTGCAAGGAACCAAGGTCTGAAATATATGTCTGCATTCCTACACAATGTTCTGCAATTGTCAATGTACCACCAAAAAACATAAATAAATTCCATCACTGTAGGTATGTATTAATGGCTTGGACTCACACTACATGGAATTTCCTTCCCCCTCCCCGATCCCATTTCAGCTCACTGATCTCCTTGGCATGCTGCTTCTGGGGGATTGGTGACCTTGAGGAATGATGGGAAGAGATCTGCGGTGAAAGGGGGTATTGGTGGAAATTGCAAATTTAGTCAAGATCCAACCAAATGCCTGTGATGTTTTCTACTACTATCATGAACAGTTTTCTAAAGAACCACATGCATGAACCTTTTAGCTATAAGCATGGCATAACTATAGAATTATTTCTACACAACCATACTACCACTAAAAATGATAACGTGAAATGAGTTTGCATAGCAGCAGAGGGCTTCCCTCGTATGCCCTGCAGTAATTCAAGCATTGGTCAGGTTTCCTAACAGGAAGAAGGATTGCTTGCCTCAGCACTTCCTATGCCAACATAATCTAGGCTGTCACAGGAACCAGGGTTTCTGCTACGTTTCAGTAGGCACTGTATGCATAGAAACAATCCTATGAAAAGCCAAAGAACTGGGTCCTACACTCTGAAGAATATGACCACATTCAGACTATCAACTTGATTAAATATTTATTCCCAAGCTACCAACCTTTCACTTTCTTATAAATACTGAAAAATAAATTCCATGTGTGATCAATGCATAGATTAAAGTAATTTTGTTGAGGAGAAGTCGTTCTGGAGATGATCAGTACCTGAATGGGAGGTCACAGAACAACCTCATGAATACTGCCTTGGAGTCCACAAATTAAAGGATATAAATTAAACAAACAAACAGGTAAACTGGATTAATCCCATTTAATTCTAGTTTAATTGGAGTTTAGCTTAATTGATGCATTCATTTGTCAGCCAAATCACATTTGTCAGCCAAACATTCACAAAACCAAATTGGTATGGGAAATGAATGTATTAAACTTTGATAATAAGAAGAGTAGAATACAGTTTTAATACTTTGGTTGATACCTTCATGCATCAATACTAAGGTAATTATTACTAATGTCATAATTAGCTATAAAAATCTGGTCTAGAAAAAATAAATTAGCAGACAGCTAAATTATTTAGAATCAAAGATAGCACTGAATTTCCTACCCAACAAAAATAAAATGTCAAAACAAATGTACCAATCAAGTTAGTTAAAAAATTTAGCTGCAATAAAATAGTTTCCACACCATCTATATTAAAAATGAACTGTAATTTTATATTAATTAAAAATCCTTTACTGATTAGCATAATCAACTATGCAAAAAGCAATTACCTTAAAGTTTCTTCCTTTCTTCACTCTAAGTTACGGCTAATTTATTTAAAATATTGCACCTGCCTCTCAGAGTTTCTTCATATATGAACTTCCTCAGCTGCACAATGTTTTAAAGGCAAATGGGAGTGTATCTGATAAACCAATCAACGAGGAAGATAACTCAACACCTCCCTTTGTAGACTTGCGTCAGCTCTTTTTCTTTTTTTTAAAAAAAGAAGATAAGTCAATTCTCTAGCGCACATCCAGGGCAAACATCACCGTTACCCAAGCTATTTGCTTTTTGAACTTGGCATTATTACAAAATGCACATCTGTAGTCTGACATAGACTTTTGTCATGCAGAGAAGATACTGTAGATGGCCTATTTTGCTAAATATGACTTTCAGAGAACTTTCTAAACAACACAATTGCCTCAATGTAAACCAAAAGTATTAAACCACAAAGATTTATGGGCTCAAAGCCAGCAACTATGTTTGAGTGTGTTAAGTGCCCTCAAGTTGCTTCTGACTTATGGTGACCCTATGAATTAATGTTCTCCAAAACATCTTATCATTAGCAGCCAGCAACTACCTTCTTTTTTTCCAGCCACACAATTGTTCCCTGACATGCCATTTATAGTGCAATTATAAACAGTTATGCCCTTCTAAGTCCATTGAAATCAATGGGCTTAGAAGAGTGTAAATGTGTTTTGGATTCCATTGTTATTTCTTCACATGGCTATGATACAATTTGTCCCACTCCATATGGTTGCTCTTTAGTCTGACAGAAAATGTTGGGTGACCCAATCACTGCTCTCCTCTGCAGTGTCCAGTGTACAGAAGATAGAACTCTGAGACTGATGAAACATTTTTTTGTCCCAATTTATCAATTTGTATCTGAATAATTTCAAGGAATATTATTACAAGAAATACTATATATGGACTCCCTTTTTACTTTGGATCTCTATTATAGGATATTTTAATATTATGCCTTAGTGACATATTCAGATTCCCATCCATAACACTATGGGATTTATAAACCTCTGAGAACAGATATAAGCATAATTATTATGTCTGTAATGCACTGTAATTGAAGGAGCTGCTGTAGCTCAAGTGGTTAAGACGCTGAACTGCAGGCTGTGGAAGGTCAGTAGCTCAGCAGTTCGAGACCTGGGTGCCGCATGATGGAGTGAGCTCCCATCTCTAGTTCCAGCTCCTGCCAACCTAGCAGTTCGAAAGCAAGAAATTGCAAGTAGATAAATGGGTACCACTTCGGTGGGAAGGTAACAGCGTTCCGTGCGCCTCGGTGTTTAGTCATGCCAGCCACATGACCACGGAAACGTC